GGGGGGTGCAGATGCCTTCAGAGAGGCAGGTGGAGGCGGATCAGGTAGGGATTGTAAGGGATTTGGGGTTTACTACAAGTATGATAGGGGCAGGGCCAGCCTAGAAGCAGCCAGATGGGTTAGGCCAGTGGAGCATCCAAGAGGTACAGGAGGTGGGACAGGGAGGGCCCAAAGCAAAGACACAAGGGTGCTGGGCAGCTGGGCCTCCCTGGCCAGCAAAGCCCCTAACAATAACCCTGTGGGGGGCTCTTTCTGTATGTTCCTGATCCCCTTCATCCCAGTAACTCAGAGCAGCCACTTCTGTAGGACTTGCTCCCTGAGGCTCAGAAACAACTTTATCATCAGAATCCCAGAATCCCAGATAGGCCAGGAACCAGCAGCCCTGAGAGGTTGTCCAGGAGAGTTAATGCAGACAATCTGGGAGTCAGAGGCCCCTTCAAGAACCAGATAAAAGCTATGGAGAGCTTTTATGCTATCCATAAAATATGTGTGTGTGATGCATATGTGCGCAAGGAACTGATACTTAACTTCTAAGCCTTCAGAGATGCAGCTAAGGACTCCCGACTTGGTTGATCTCCTTCCCTCACTCTGCAGTTTCCAGATATGGAAACTGAGGCCCAAGAAAGATAATGAATTCTCTCAGGGTCATCCAGTGAGGGTCCTTCCCATCAAAACCATGCCACCTCCTTTAGAAACACCCATAAAACGGCCATGACTGCTGCACTTATTGACTACCCATAACAGCTCGACACACTCGAAGTGTATCCAGGACATAAAAATAAAGAAGCCTCAGCTCCTTGGCCTTGTCAGTTAGGGCTGAGGCCACCCTCAGTAAAACCTTTAAGCTCTGCATTAGTGATCTCTCTGGCCTTCTCCATATTTGGAGAGGCTTTTGAAAGGGTGCTAGGGATGACCCAGTTCTCTCTAAAAGGTCTGACTTGAGGCCTTGTTCTGCACTGGCCGCCTGCCGTGGGCCCCAGCAGTGGAACTGGGAGGTCACAGCACAGGACCAGGCCACTGCTATTATTGAGCACTTACTATATGCCAAGGACCACGCTGAGTGCAGTGCATGTATCCTCCCATCAGATTCTTCAAATACCCCTGCAGGGCAGGTGTCACGGTCCCCACGTGCTAATCAGGAAACTCAGAGACTGAGTCACTTGTATTAGTTTGCTGGGGCTGCTGTAACAAAGCACCACAGACTGGGGCTTAAACAATAGAAATGTATGGCCCCATGGTTCTGGAGGCCGGACGTCTGAGATCAAGACGTTGGCAGGGTTGGCTCCTTCTGAGGCCTCTCTCATTGCCTTGTGGATGGCTGTCTTCCCCCTCTATCTCTTCACATGTCTTCCCTCTCTGTCTGCCTGTCTCTCTGTCCAAATTTCCCCTTTTAATAAGGATTCCAATCATACAGGATTAGGTTCCACCCTAGTGACCTCATTTTAACTTGATTAACTCTGTAGAGAAACTATCTCCAAATAAGGTCACATTCTGAGGTCCTAGGGATTATGACTCCAACATATCTTTTTCTGGAGGGCACAGTTCAACCCATAGCACCCAGGATCCCAGAAAGGTGAAGTTCAGAT